GGCGGGGTGGGACGGGGCTGTCTGCCCACTCTTTCATTCAATGACCGAAACACTACCCCCGTCCCCGCCGCGCCTCCACCCCCTGTCCATCCACGTCGACTCCCGTCCCGACCGTGGCCCTGGCCCGGGGTCCCCACGGACCGCCCGCCCCGCGCGGCCCCCTCGAAATGTCACTTACTTGTCCCCGGGCCGGCGGGGCTGGCGGCGCGGGACCCGGGGTCGCCCACCAGGACCAACCCCGGCCGGGCCCCTCCGCCGGCGGGGGCAGGGGGGATCAACTTGCACCGACAGATCCGTCACTCCACTGTGGTGAGACGGGTAATGATATAATACCGCGGGCTATGATGAGGACGGTGACGACCGAGATGGTGATTAAGTGCGCAGTAATTGTTTGGTATTTTTAAAAATGCGCACCGATTGCTGCTAACCTGCATATTAACCCCTATATATGTGTTCGATAAAAGTGAATTCTTTGGGTGATTTAGTGCAGGGCTGACACTCCTTCCCTACACCACGGAACCACGCATCGCCGCAGCCCCCGACTCCCTACTGTCGTCTGTCTTCTGTCGTCGCTTTGCAATTTCGACAGAGTTCTCTGCTCTCTCCCGAACTTGACCGCGAATATCACGCGCATTGCTGGTGCGTGGGGCGGCGTGGCGCGGCGTGGCGCGGCGGAGGGGAGGCCGTGATTAGAGCGCGCTTGTGCGGCGCCATGTGTAGCGGCGGGGCGGGGCGGGGCGGGGCACCGCATCACATGGCGCCGCAGCCAAAGAAAGAGCAAATTGCCTCCTTTAGGTCGCATTGCTCGGTGGAGGGGCGCGGCGCGGCGCCCGCTTTTGTTGCGCACCCGCCTGGAGTGAACTCGGACGAGGAGCTTCCGATGGAATCAAAATTAACGGAGTGAAATGAAATTAACGTCATTCATCCGACGCAGCCACCATAGAGAGACAGAGAGGGGCGAGAGAGAGAGAGAGAGAGAGAGAGAGAGAGCAGAGCAGAGCAGAGCAGAGCAGAGCAGAGCAGAGCAGGGAGCCAGAGAGTGAGAGAGTGACAGGCAAAAGGAGAGGGACAGAGACAGAGGGAGGGCGACCTGCACCGCTGCTGCGAACAACGCGCGTCTCCCCTCTGCCGCGCTACCCCTTTCTATCTACTCCTTGTTCCTCCCCTCCCCTCCCCGCCCTCCCTGTCATTTGCCTTCTCAGCTTACCCCTCCCGGGTCCG